ATAATTGATTTGCAAGATGTGTCTTTGCAAATATATAAAACGGTATCCAGTGAAGAATTTTGGACCAAACATGTTCCAGAAAATTATGAAAATTGCAAGAAACTAATAGCTATAAATTGGACCACTATATTGGGCTCGACATGTGTATGTGAAACATATTTCTCAAAGATTAATTTCTTGAAAAAGAAATATCGTTCGAGATTAACGCCCACCAAGAAGACACACTTCGAATTTGCTGTTCCTCTCGAGAACTAAACTATAAAAAACTGGCTCACGACCGTCGGTATAATTTCTCACATTAGTTTAATGTCTTGTGTTTTATAATTCAGAATTTGATTTGAAACCAAAATAATACATAGGTAGCACTTAATTTTTATCAGTTGTTTTTTCTGGACCTCGTAAAAATTTTCCTTCAGTTACCGGACCCTACCAACTACTTGCCGACCCCTGATCTATAGGATCAACTAGTTGCCTTTTAGTAAAGGCTACAAAGAAATGAAGAGAACGAATCTCATCATCAGGCGGTGTCACCTACCTAAAATCTGTTATCAATGTTTTTCCGTTAACCAGCTGTCGCCCTCCATAAACGACAACCCTCAGCCTTGTGCGAGCCACACGGGGTGTTGCATTTCAACATGCGATTCCTAACACGGCTTGTCCTGTAAGTGCAGTTTAGTGTAGCAATACATTGTGGTTCAGCGTAGCAACACTGATGTGAGCTATGAAATATCAAAACATTGCTGTATAGTGTTGGAGTAGAGTAGAGTTAGTTTATTCCTATGTGACAATTTGAAAATTTTATACAGTCGTCAAAAATGTACCAACAAATAAGTTGGTATAATTGCAGAAACAAATTTTGAGCCATTTCAAATACTGAAATAAAAATATGCGTTCAAAACCTAAATACTGTGAATAGTCTGAATGAGTTAAAATAGGTTCGTATTATTCTACAAGAACTCAGAGTTAGTAAGTATAGCTGAGAAATATCAATATATACACAAAAACTTACTGACAAAACATTTAAGAAGCATATATACAATAACCAAAAAATCTCAGTATGAAACATTACCGTCATTGAGTCGTATACAGTAGTATATACAGTGAGTATATACATTTTTTTTAACAAAGTCAATATTCTTTTTCAAATAGTGGACAACATCAAATTTTGAATGTGTTTTCAATCTGGTTTTTTTCCTTGCATTATAAAGACCTTATCAACCCCTTAAGAGAATCCCACAAGACATGGTACTGTGGAAAAGAGCATGGTAGGCCATCACAACACTTTTATTTACAACATTCTTAACATTCCTCAAGGGAGCTTGTTTATTTTTAAGATTGACTGTATATGAGCCTCTCATGTCAGCTCACTCCCAAAACATTTCACCGCTAACTTGTCCTTCAGAATTAAATTGTAAGACTAAAAGTAACATTTGAGTTTTATCGAAATATAATCTCATATTCATGACCACTTCAGGAGGTGTCCGATTTGATGTTCTCAAACTGATCAGAGTTTTTCATTGAAGTTATTTTAAAAAAGGTTTTCAAATAAATTGCGCCTATTGGATTAATGTATTTTTGACAGCGACAATCATAAAAATGGATAGGCTCTCTGAATTATTCCTAATGTATCGAAAACAAAAATTTTTCAATGATTTTTCGAATTTTATCTTTCCTAACCATCGTTTATGCACGGTATATGTATATTCAGGAAATTAACGACATTATATGGCATGACCAACGAAGACGTGAAGTTTTCACTTTCAGTAGTTCCAGTAGTTTAGGGCTTTCAAAACTGAGGAGTTGTGAACTTATATCCGTAGCAACTTTTCTTCATAATATAATAATCACCTCCAACAACTCATGGCAGTACTAAGGAAACACCTTGTACAAATATTTTGTTTAATAACAGTTTTCAATTCACAGCTCTTCAGCGATCAACCCTCAAGATGGATAAATTTCAGATTGTCTTTGAATGAGATGTATGTTGATGTATGTTGAAAATGGCAAAATAATTACAAATTTATGTCCAACTTTTATCTGATCCAATTCAAAATAATTATTTCCTCCTGGAAAACAGTAACTTAAAATTGATTCAGTTCTAAGACATGAAAACCACCATTCAGTCAGAGTAACCACCCATTCGTGAACACTGATGCGTAACTCAATCAAAATGTCGTTCGTTCGGGGCTGCCAATTTGTTGGTGGTTTGAAAATTAATTGGGCACATTTTTACGCATAGAGAGATTCTTGACAAAGTCACTTTATTTTTACCCTTGCTCTATAAATGTTCGAATACCGTGTAAAAAGCAAAAACAGCTTATATAGATTATTGTCGAAAGTAAAAGTAATTGAAGATACTTTAAATATGATTCAACAAATTACGATATAAATAGACATTCTTTTGATTATTACCAATCATCTTCCAGTGGCTTGGAAATACTAGCTAACAATCAAAATGTCGTGAAGTAACCTGTTTTGAAATATGTTTCCTTTTATAAGAAAAGCAGATATAATAGTCGTAAAAAATATATTTTACCCAAAGATACATCAATTCACAATTGAACTTAACGAATAAACCATCGCATCTTTTCCAATCTGGATATAAACAACTAAATAATAACAATGCTCTCGCCTAGCTCGCTTGAGTTGACTACTATGACTCTCGGGCCCCGCGTTTTTTCGGGTACCGCGATTTTGTACACCCATGTCAATATATGGTTTCTTACACTTTTTTCTTATTTTACATTTTGTGGCATTATTTTTCATTCTTATTATTTAACTAATCTAGTCCAATGAATTTTTTCACAACAGTGTTGTTGCTGTTTTAATGTTTTAAGGAATACTAATAAATTTTCAGAAGTACTTACCGAAAAGGATTTCTATTATTTTTCAATATCTAGTTAGTTTTTCATTTATTGTTTTTCACACACATTTTAGATTTGTTCACATAATTTTGGACTATGATGGCCAAACCTCTAATAATCAAGACACAATATCATCCACCTTCAAACAAAATTTGCTTTCTGTCTTTCTCTGCTACTAAAAGTAAACAACGGCATCATCGGATCTGAATGATGAAAATGACATATTTCAAGTTTCTACATCCAATAATATCAAAAATATACAAGTCCGTATTTAGAAAAATATGACAGTTAACGAAAAGTTCCATTGAAAATTGTATCCAATAAAATCATAAAAAAAGTTCTTCTACCACAACATAATTGTAGGATCTGTCATTTTCGAGATAGCAGTTGTTTCACCTAGTATGAAAGCGGGGAATATATTCTTGACTGATCGCCCCGAAAAAATGCACTTGAAGATTTACATTCTAACCTTAGATCATGCAGATTGATAGGGTTGGATTCATAAAAAAAAACAGTAATTTTTCTGTGAAAACAGGTATATTCAAAACTTTCTACGACAGTACAAATGACACCGATATGATATTATTTTTACTTTTCAGAGGATACATAACTTTTAAAAATACCCTGATTTAGTACAATTTTAAAAATTATACTAGATAATTAGTTCATTTGTTGATATAGATACCACCTATTTATGACTGTCGGAATTAGCACTGAACTTATTAGGTCCACTAATTTCAAACTTCCAACAGATTTCTGTAATTTAAAAATTGTCCACACTGAAAAGTTTCGTCGAAAGGATTGCCGAAGTACTGACAGAATTTGAGATACCATCACCACTAGTCCTTCAACGATAAAGCTCATTTAAATACACAAAAATAAAAATTACAAGAAAGTGGTTTTACACAGGAAATACTTGTGATTTTAGTTTTTTTTTCATACAGCTAACTTGATATTTTCTAGTATTCATGTAGCTAGAGTGGTATAATTCGAAATAATTTTCAGAATACGATATGGATGAATATTACTGGAGTTTTTCCCCAACACCAAATCGTTATTTTTTTTACACCTTAGACTTGAAGAACATTCTTAAACTTCAAGACGATTTATGATTCACTGTTTGGAACCTTTGTTGTAGTAATGAATATTACTTGAGTTTTTTCCCCAACACCAAATCGTTATTTTCAACACCTCGATACGTGTTTCGATCACCAAGTGATCATCTTCAAGAGGAAGATAAGATGAGATAAGATAAAAACAGTTTTATCTTCTTCTTGAAGATGATCACTTGGTGATCGAAACACGTGTCGAGGTGTAAAAAATTACGATTTGGTATTGGGAAAAAACTCAAGTAATACTCATTACTACACCAAAGGTTCCAAACAGTTCATCATAAGTACGATATGGATATTTAACTCAAACTGTTCAATATGTATTTTTTACCACATATAAAAGAAAACAATCCATACTTCTGATCACTTGAAAAGATTATTACAAGTTATTAAGTTTTTTTCTACCCAAACAGAATTTTAAAAAAGGTTTGAATCCCAATCTTAATTGAATAATTCGATTTTCCATTGGTGAAACTAGTTCACACGCAGTGATATTTGTCCTCTATTTATCAGTTCAAAAATGAAGGATAGAAATACACCGATGTGTTTTTATCAATGGAAACGTCATATGAAGTTTCTTGTTTTTGATAATCAACTATTTTCTTGAGATGTTTACATTAGTTTTTGGAAGTGAAAGTTAGCAATTTTCACTTTTAAATACCTGTTCATCTCACCTCCATCACTTCACATCACCGTCACTTCCAGTGACGTCATATGACGTCAAACGCAATTGAAAGATGTTCGATGAATTAGACCTATCCTTCACACAATCGACAGTTCATATATTCCTGGAAGGTCATCTTGAATTTAGACAGGTAGGAGCCTGGCTCCCTTACCCTTTGGACTTATTATATTCCTGGAGGATTGAACTTGCCAATATATAGATCATTTCTAAAATCATTCAAATAATTAAGTTATTTTCTCAGGCGAAATAATTTTGATTTCAAACATACTACTGAACGTACCGAAGTAGTAAAAAAGAAGAAGAATTATTAGAAATGTCACAGGAAATTTCTGTTTTTGTTGACATAGAGGCCCAGCTGAATGTCATCTGTGTTATTAATGTAATTCTATATTTTTAAAGGTTTATCTATAGTAGATTTATTTATTAGTGACATTCTATTCCAGATAAATATTATTATCACTGCTCTACAGTTGTATTGCTATCATAAAAATGTGCCTCAATGTGCATTCACAACCAAGTAAATTATTTTCACTCTTTGTTTAATTAGAAATTGGCATACTATTTCGAAATGTTTGTGAAACCTCAGGAAGTTCTTATAGCCAATGCATTCTGGTATGGTTTGAGGCCATGATTCCCCTTCAATATGCGTCTAATTGAGGTCAATATTTTTCTAGGGAAACCGAGAAATCTTCCATTTACTTTGTACTTCAACATCGAAAAGGTCATGGAAATATCAAAGGGCTATCATCACTTCTTGTTGGAACGATGGACAGTATTTTTGATACAAAGCCAGCACCCTACAGAATATTACATCAAACACCGTCTTCTGAAGTATATTACTGTAAGTACTTGACACTGTGAAGTCTCAGTTCCTTGTATCAAATTCCAGAGTTAGTGGATTTGATCAATGTTTTTTATATTTCAGTGGTAGCTGGTGCCATGACAAGGAAAGAAATATTGCAAGATTGGAATTGGCTTTTTAGTAACGTGTGCGAAACTCTACATTCCTTTGATAGTGAAGATGATATAATAGAGTTTGTAACATGTAAAATAGAGTCTGTTATTGCCACAAGACATGAAGCTGAAATTGATGGTAAGTACCAACATATAAGAATTTCTAATTAAAAAGTGTAAATTCTAATCAGTCTGTTTGCTAAAAATCTTTAACAGCATTAATGAAATATAAATGTGTTGTTTCAAAAATAAATACAGAAATAATGTTTATTTCTATGCATAATTTTCTAACTTCTAACAAATAATTTTCACAAAATTCCAAACAGTCCTCAAATGTAGGAATGTTGGGGAACCAAAATGTTTTGAATTTTAATTTGAAATATTAATTTTCTCAATGCAGTCACATTTCTTTTAGTGAAGCAAAACCAAACAAGTAAACCAGTGGTAAGCCAGTGTTGAGACAATTTTTATACAGTTGTTTTATTCAATTCATATTTATATTTCATTCTTACACAGTGACTTTCACTAGTGTACATATCATTTGAACATTTTGAGAAGGTTTTTTAATCAACAGTATTAAATTTTGTTCTCACTTTCTGAATTATCACTCGAGTATGTATAAGGTACAGCAGAAGGTACAGAAGAAGTTGGTCAGAAGAAACCTGAAATAGTCAGGAAATTTAATTTAATGAAAGTGCTAGATACCCTGAATAAGTACCTGACCACTTATAACAATTAACTGGTCTAACTTTTGGAGTTCCAAGTACCATTTCTCACCTTCAATTTTCAATATGTGGTTCTACCATTTCTTGCAGTAAAATTTTTATAAAATCATACATGTTAAAGTGGTTTGTAACCGAGCCTCTTCTTCAAGTCTTGATTTTTTATGCAGATTTACGATTTGCACTAGTAGTATCTAATGCCACCAAGTTGTTTATTTTTTTTTATGTGTGTTTTCTAAAGGGCAATATCACTGAACATTTTTTTACAATTCTATCTGGGTAGGGTTTTGTGCTGAATTTCTTTTCAACATGTTTTAAAAATACCAAGTTTTATGGTGTTTATATATTCGACTACCACAGCTGACTGGTACCAATAGGTACTATTCAAATGTTGATCAAATCTAGCTGATCTAAAAATTAATATTTTTTTTAATTCACAAAACAAAAAAGCTTCATTTATGTATCTGACAGAGAACATTTGTACTAATTATGTACACTCTTCATTTATGAGTGTACCTACATAATATGGTACCGATCATTTTGGTATTCTCAATTTATTCAGACTGATTTTCTCTATTGGTATCTTATATTGGTTTACCCATTTCAATTGTGCCAATGAATTTTTCATTTTTTTTTTATATTCCAGATGAAGATACTACATCTTTCAAAGTGAAATCTCAAAAGTTCCAGAGATTATTTGACTTGCCAGCAGATGAAAAACTTGTGAATTATTATTCATGCAGGTGAGAATTTAAAGCTCTAAACTTTATTGCAGCTATATTTATTTCTGAAATACTTTATCTCTTGGATAAATCACATTGAATCAAACATACTGTAGAAGAAGTTTTCAATTATAATCTCTCCTCTTATATTTTCATCCTGATCCTATTGTGAATTTAAGTCCTCCTGAAGTATATTTACACAAGTCATAACCTAATAATAACAAAGTTGGCTTTGTGTACTTCACATTTCAATAATTCAGTATATTAATTTTGCCCTACTACATTGTTGTATAAGTTTTCAATATCATTGGTGTTTATTTCATTTCATTCACTTGAAGCTGATATCTTTTATAATGAAGTTTCAAACTGTAAATATTAATTGGATAGAATTTTTAGATTCTAATAAAACTAAACCAAAAATAGTTCCAATTCTATTTTCAACTCATCAACTAGTTATAGTAACAAGCAAATAAATAATTTGGTAATTCAATTTCTAAATTCTACTCAATATGTATTTACAAGAAGTTTTTCTTGATGTGTCAACAATCAACTGAAAACATTATCATAAAATTTTTCAAAATAATTTCCTTGTTTGGTTTTTTAGAGTATGTTTTTCATACTTCCTGTGAAAATGAGAACTGAATCATTTCTACATTTGGATGTTTATTCAATGGAATGATTCAGACTTTCAATTACTCATTTTTTCACGTTCATATTACACGTTCTAATGTCTGTTTTTGTTTGAATAAAAATAATGAAAATAAAGAGGTCATTGACATCTGTGGCATCATGGATAATAGTCAAAATTTTGTGATTCTTTTAAATCCAACATGCAAACTTTTCTATTACTTAACCTTCTAACTTGTCAATAATGATCACTAAATACTACATTAAGTTCTGAAATGCAATTGTAGAGCAGATGGAACTCATTTGAGGTAAAATAACTTCAAATAGGAATCATTGAAAAAGAACTTTGAGACGAGATTTCATAGAGAGAATATAAGGCAATGATAGCTATTTCATTCATTATATGACATGGAGTAACACCTTCACTGGGCAGTTTACAAAACCGCAACACTTGTATGAAAACACTAAAGGAAGCTATTCTATAGCGGGACACATGTTGCGGTTTTGAATTCATGGTTGAACTGATGTTCTTCTTTGATTAAATGAGTGGCATATTTGGAAGTTATTCCTCCATTCTGGAAACTATTTCTGTGTTCCTTTGTGCGGGCTTTCAACGTTCTTTCAGTTTGACCTATATATAACATCAGACATGACCCGCCTGATAATTTATACACTCTCAATTTTTCTGAAACTGAACTTTTATCTTTGTTATTCTTAATGTGCATGCCTAATTTATTGTTGGTTTTGAAAGCAATATTTACACCTTTGTGGTGCAGAAAATTTGAAATATTTGTAGTGGGTTGGCTTAAGCAGGTTAAGGTTCTATAACTTTCATCCTTATCTCTTCGAAATGGGTAAAAAATAAATGGTCGTTGTTCCACTCAGAATTGACCGTTTTACGTTGCTCAAGCAGAAAAGTGGCCACATGACCCATTTGACCAAAGAAACAGGCGACCATTTGCTTCTCTGTGCTTCTTCCACGAACAACTTTTGATGGATTTAGCTCGCCTTTCAATAACTACGCGATTTTATACAAGTCATTCGAAGCACTATGGTCGAACTTTTCAATCATTTCCTTATACCACTTGAGGCGAGTTTTTTTTCGAGCAATTAATAAATTATGAGGTATCCAACGAGAACTATTTTTTTTACAACTAAGTGGAACTAATTTGCAAGGATGCCTCTATTTCACAATATGTCACATGACGATCTTGCATTATCAGTTTACGCACTGCATCGATATTTTGTGGAACAACAACCGATTTTGGACGACTGTGACCGAACTACGACCACGATTGAATTCACATACCAGCAATATACCGTGGTTTTTAATGGTGCTTTATTCTTGTTTAAGAGTTCTAGATGTGGACAATTCAAAATAGTTGGAATAATCTTGATAAAAAATTTAAATATAACAAACATTGAGCATAATATATGAGTATTGTCATGGTTTTATGAATACACACAGTTTAAATATTTCTGAATTAGAGTTATTTAATCAAGAAACTTTACTATACGAAGTCATATTCAGATACTCGGACTGTCGGAAGACAGTGTGTGTCGTCTCTATTTGGAAAATGATGGAACAGCAGAGCATATACTTTGTGACTGCCCCGCTGGGGACCGAATGGAGGGTCGAATAGGCCCACTCACTAACCTTATTGACCCTACGACCATGTGGCAAGAACTCTTGATAAACTACGTCACAGTAATCAATAAAAACAGTGAGCAAAATCTCGACATTTGATCGAACTTGGCGTGCTTTTTCTGGTCTTGGCTCTCCTGGTCTTTCTCATTGGGACCATTGGACTTTGGTTTCGATGTCATAACCATATACCTATGATTCGTCACCAGTTATGGCTCTTTTGAGCAAATCTGGACCGTCGTTGACGTCATTCAACAATTCCTTGGCGATGTTCATCCTCAGTAACTTCTCTAATAGTGATTTGACTATTCTCCATAACAATTTTCTTTACTTTCTCCATATTTCCATCTGTTGTTAATGTGCTGGGGCGTCCAGGGCGATCGTCGTCATTCACGTCTTCTCGACCTTCTGCGGAAAGCTTGTACCACTCGTAAATATGTTTCTGGTTCAGAGTACAATCACCGTATGCCACTGTCAACATTTCGAGAGTTTTTGAGCACTCAATTTCAGTTTTAACGCAAAATTTGATGCAAATTCTTTGAACCATTTTTTTGATAGCAGAAAATCGCCTAACACGCAAAACACTTCTAACGTTCATGCCTCTCACCACAAACTAAACATGCTAAACAGCTGAAACTGTGAACATATGTTCGAGACGAGTGTACCAACATAAAAAAAATCGCCAATCGATTGTACGTAGCCCGCGAAATTTGAACATTCACCTCGTATGTTTATGTCAGAGGTCGGCAAGTAGTTTTAGGTGGGGTCCGGATACTGTGAGAAAATTTTAACGAGGTCCAGAAAAAAACAACTGATAATTAAGTGCTACCTATGTATTATTTTACTTTCAAATCAAATTCTGAATTATAAAACACAAGGCCTAAAATTAATGTGAGAAATTACACCGACGGTCTTGAGCCAGTTTTTTATAGTTTGGTTTTCGAGAGGAACAGCAAATTCGAAGCGTGTCTTCTAGGTGGGCATCCGTTAATCTCGAACAATATTTGTTTTTCAAAAACTTCATCTTTAAGAAAGATGTTTCACATACGTATGTCGAGCCAAACGTAGTACGGCAATTTTCATATTTTTCTGGGACACGTTTGGTCCAAAATTCTTCAGTGGATACCATTTTATGTGCAAAGACACATCTTCTTTCAAATCAATTATCTCTATTTGAAGTGAAGGCTTTGATACTTTTAACAACTCTGTCAATTTTTCT